TCTCTCTCTCTCTCTCTCTCTCTCTCCCCCCCCTTTAAAAAAAATAATAATGTAATTATCATCATTGTCATGTCACTACATTGTCATTGTCACTACAAAAATACTTCTTCGTTTTAGTCTTCTGGCACACTACTGCAGGACATCTTAGTCCTAGTGTATGATTTCCAGCCCCAAAGTGACATGAGACCCAAGAAAGAGAAGCAATCAGGCATGGTGGAGCATGCCTATAATCCCAGGAACTCTGGAGGTTAAGGCAGGAGGATCACAACTTTGAGGCCAGCCTCAACAACTTAGTGAGGCGATAAGCATCTTAGCAAGACCTTGTCTCAAAAAAATCAAAAGTGCTGGGGACGTGGCTCAGTGGTCAGGCACCCTGGATTCAATCCCCACTATCAAGAAAAAATTAAAAAGTAAAAGAAAGAAAAGAAAAATATCGAGAGGCAGACAGACCCAGGATTGCATACAGTGCAATTTACTGGGGGATGAACTGACAGAAGTGCAGCCCTGGTGGCAGCCAGACCAGTTGATCCCCTCAATATGCACCAGAAAAGGATGAATATTTATGGGTTAGGACAAAAGTGACTTCATCCTGGCTGGAATGTACCTGGTGTATCTTTAGATAATATCAAAGAGTCAGGCGCATCTCTGCAATCAGGTGTGACTGTAAAACCCCACATGTGACTCCAGTGGTTTTGTCTCTGGTTTGTAGGGAATCCCAGCTCTGGTTACCCAGGGGCAGTCATGCAATTATGACTCAAGATGGCTGCTGTCACGTCAAGACAAATCTGCACACTCTATGTTGAGATCTCTGAGGTAGTTCATTCATTTAGCCTAGAAATAAGCAAACCTAGCCAAGTTCATTAATTCCTAGAGATGGCTGGGAGGAGACCGGGACAAGCTGATAAATACAACCAAGGTTACCAGAGAAGTGAGGAAAGCCGTGTTGTGAGATGTCCAGAAACTCACCAGCTAGGGAAGCTAGGTTCCCGGGAAACGCTTCCTTTACCTAGATTAAATTTGGTTTGAATGCAATCATGGGAGACCTTGCAAACACACAAGGAGGGGGGTTTGCGAGATTTCCACTGCTGACCTGAGGCCAGTTCACCTCTCCAGATAAACTGGAACCCCAGAAACTCAATGGAAAGAGTCCTCTTTCCTGGCTGAAAGGAAGGCAGAAGAGGGCAGTGCTTGGAGCCCAGAGATAGGTAGGGGACACCAAAGGGAAGGAAAGCAGGGTAGAGAGGGACGACAGATTCTGGAGAGTAAAAGGTACAGAACAATCATTTCAACACAACAGGAAAGTAAGTAGGGCACAAGAAGGCAGAGCAGACGCCACCGATGAGAATGAGGCCTCCATTTATGGGTGTTGAGACTGTCGTTCCCCAGGTTGGGGAGAGAGCCTGGTGAAGTGGGACAAAGGGAACTCACATTTCTGATCGTTACCTATGACTACGGGGCGACTGGGCTCAGCAGTTCTTATCAGTTACTCAGGAATCCTCCCAAGGCCGTTGGTACACGGCTGAGAGCTGAACTCTGCTCACTGAGTGACCAGGCACGCTGCTCTGCAGACATCATCTCACTGTGCCCTTTCCACAGCCGAAGGAGGCTGTCACAAATAGTACCCTCATTTGCTAAGTGACGAGGCCAAGACGCAAAGAGATTTTGTCATTTGCCTCAGACCAGACAACTAACAAGAGATCAGGCTCACCTCTGCCGTCACAGGCTGAGCTCATGGAAGAATCTGAGTCAGTCTGCCAACTGTCTAGGAGAGAGAGAGAGAGAGAGAGAGAGAGAGAGAGAGCGAGAGCGAGAGAGCACATAGTAAATAGTCAGGATTGCGAAAAGTGAAGGGCTCAGTATCCAAAAGTTCAGGTGGTCATATACATGGCACAGGGCCTGGAGAGGAAGAGGGGCTGGGTGCAGGGGCTGTCTGCAGACCCTCCTCACATCTGGCAGAGGAACCATCTCCAGAGAACTAGAGAGCTGCTCTCTGCACAGGGCACTGATTAAACCTGAGGGGGACTATCTAATTTTGTTGTGAAGTGGGAAAAGAAGAGATGCTGTAATTTAGATTTATAATGGTATCACTTTTTTTATAGTCTTTCCTTCCTGCCTTGGCTCAAAATACAGTGTTGCAAATACTCACACTACTTTAAAATGAAGTGTTTGGGTACATTTTAACTTGCAGCCTGGGCAATTTAGCAGGACCTTGTCTCAAAATAAAAAATGGCTGGGGATGTGGCTCAGTTGTAGAGTGCCCCTGGGTTCAATCCCTAGTACCACCAAAACAAAAACAAACAAAACTCTACAAATTGTAGAAGAGTTTGAAAGTGTATATGCATCCTTATATGCCTGGTTAGTTATTAAAAAAAAAAAAATGGAGGCCAGGCATGATGGTGCAAGCCTATAATCCCAGGTTAAGGTAGGAGGATCACAAGTTTGAAGCCAGCTCAGCAACTTAGCAAGACCCTATCTCAAAATAGAAAACAAAAAGGGCTGGGGATATAGCTCAGAGATAAAAGTGCCCATGTGTTCAATCCCCAGTTCAAAGAAAGAGGAAGAAGAGGAGAAAGAGGAGGAGGAGAGGAGGAAAAAGGAGAAGTGGGTTAAGGATTATATCTCTATGACATGACATTAGGATGGTTGAATGAATTCTCTTTTTACTTTGTGTATTTCTGTTTACATATTTAATGGATATATATTGCTATTATATTTTAATGAACATCCTGTATATTACTATTTTATTTTACAAATAACTATTGTAACAAAATAATATATAAATAAATCATGCTAACCAGACCTCTCATATACCTGTTCTTTCCTTTAAGCCTGTACATGTTAGTTTATTAATTTGCCTTACCATCAGCCACCCAATCCCCACCCAACCCCCTCCCCAAATAAAAAATAAATAAAACAGGAAAAGTAATAGACAAAAATGAGGAAACCCTTGGGATTTCTAGAACTCAGAGGAGCTCATGATGTCCCTAAGAAGCAGTGTCTTATTTCAAAGTACCTCCTGCACATAAATATTAAATAAACAAACCAAAAAAAAAATCAGATTATACCATTCCTAAACATTTGGTGACCAAGCGGAAAAACCAAATTTCACCTAAATTTCAGAGCCTGCCAAGGACTACGGGGTTTAAGAGAACCTCTTACAGCCACGTCCTGTTTCTAGCCAGGTATGTGACTCTGGATAGAAACTCTTTTCCTTCTCTAGAGCTCCATTTCCTTTGTTGAGGGCTGAGTAACAACACCAACCTCTTAAGACTATTGGGAAGGTCAAATAAGGCAATGCAGGTAAAAGCACTTTTCAATTACAAAATACCCCGGCAAGTGAAGTCAAGACAAGCAGAGGACTTATCAGGTTTTGCATAAAACTGTGCCACTTTTTTAAAAAATATGCATCCAGATAAAGTCCGCTAAACTACTGAATGAGGCACACACACACATTCATGTTGAAGAGGGTTCTTTGGAAGAGTGGGTGTGGAGCACACACAGCAGCGGATCTGTCAGCTGCTCCATTGTGAACTTGGAGCTATTCCCAGCAAGTTTTGAGATCTGCCAATAGCATCCTATTTCTTGGCTGCAGACAACATGCTCAGGACATAAGGAGGAGCAGGTCAGGAAGCCTCTTACCTCTGCCTTTGCGCCCTTCCCAAGGCATCTTGGTTAGCAGTCAACAACTGGCTGGACAGAAAATTTTCTGGGGAATCAGGCACATGTTAGGCATAGTGGTCTACAGGACAAAAACCAGAGCTTGTGCTCCAGTAAACTCCAGCTGTACTCCAGATCAGCTGTGAGGAGTTGCCACCACACCCTGAACTTTGTCCCCCCACCCCACCAAGATGATGGGGTTAGACTGGAACATTTATTCTGCGCCTGGCATGACAGGCGATGGAGCTTGCAAACAGATACACTGAGAGCTGAGCCAGGAACCTTTGGAATTCCCTCCAGCCTCAGCCAGAAACGAACACAGTTTTCTTCCCTCTGGTTCCTGCCCTCAGGCAACCCCTGTGCCCTGTTCTGAACGGCATGGAATATCTGTGAACTAGGTTTCCCTTCCTTCCCAGAGGAAAGGGGAAGGCAGGGAGGCAGAGAGGAGGCAGCCGAAGGGCAATGTGGCATGAGGACCTGGAGGGAGGCTTGGAGGACCAGACACCAAGGGTTACTGAAGATTACACAAGACAGAAGACACAGATGCCAAGATCAGACAAAACAAACTTTATTAAGAAAAGCATATTGGTAACCACCGCTAAACTACTGAATGAGGCACACAGGTCCCCTCTCTTACCCCCTTCACTCCTCCCAAACCCACTCTCTCTCTCTTAGAACACTGTGGAAATCATCTCTCAAGTCCACAAGTGCCCCCAGACTTTTGGGCTGTGAGCTGCCAGGAAGGTCTTGGGCTGGTTCTGGAGTCTTAGAATCAAAGAGGGAGGCCTATGCTACTACCTTCAGTATCCAAAATTCTGGGCAAAATCAGGTGGCCATAACTAAGGCTGTGGAGATGGGAGGGTAGATGTGGCAGTAGTCCTGTAGATCCTTCTCACATCTCACAGGGACCACAGAGCCACTAGAAGCCAAGTAGAAAGGCACATGCCACATCTGGAATGTTATAGGCACATCTGGGTGGACAAGGCACCATGAAGGCCAAGATGTCTGCTCCTGAGTGAGGACACCTGGCGACAGGCAGGGCACCAGGGCTGGGGGCCCCCGAGAAGGAGATCCTGAGGGAGCTGGACCTGAGCTTAGCATTCAGCTTAGATGATGATCTTAAAAAAATGCCAAAGCAGAAAGAATTGAAGGTGGAACTAAATCCCACTCTTTAGGGTACAGGGTACAGAGCTCAGTTCCAAGTGCCTGGAATCTTGTGCCCAAATCATGGCACAAGGAGAATCAGGAATTATCTTGGGTTAAGGCACAAATAAATCTTCACCATCCCGGCTCTTCCACTGGAGGGTGGGAAAGCAACTGCTGGGCAGAGGCCATTCCCTCTCCCACCTGGCCCTTCCGTAGTGAAGACTCTGAATCCATCTGCCAGTCAGGGCCAGCATGGCCCTGCCAACCATCGCAGCAGGCTTAGGAGAGGTCAGCCTGACCGGCTCTGGCAATCTCCACCAGCCTCAGCAACATGGAAACCTGCAGCAAAAGAAGAAAGTCACTGGGCTTCCGAGGTATTCCAGACAACCTAGCAGCACCCACTCCAGGCTCTGGAACAGTTACCCTTCCATGAGACTCAACCCATTAAAATATTAAATACCCCAGACCCATAGGGCTCAGTGTTCTGGGATTTCCCAGAGAGAAAAACAACAACAAAATAACCACAATTGTAATGGGTATGAAGATTTTCAGTTTTGCAAGATGAAAAAAGTCATGGTGATGGATGGTGGGGATGGCTGTACAATAATGTGAATGTACTAAATGCCACCCACTAAACTGTACACTTAAAATTGGTTCAAATGGTAAATTTCATGTAATGAATATTTTACTACAACTTAGGAAAAAAAGGAATCTTTTGATGCTGGAGATTGAACCTAGGGGCCTCATTCATGCTAAGCCCATCCATGGTCTACCACTAAGCCACATCCCCAACCCCAGAAAAAAATAAAGAAATGCTAAGCATGTGCAAGGCCCTGGTTTCAACCCCCACTACCAGTAAGTAAATAAACAACCACACTGACAGTATCAAACTTAGTATGTAATGGTGCTACTTAGTATAGTATAGCACGGCTAAAGAGGCCAGAGTGCCAAGGTTCCAATGTATGCTCCATCACTGATCAGGGAGAAGATCTTGGAAACCTTATTTAACCTCTCTGGGGCTCTTGTTCCTCATACAAAAATGAGAAGGGCTGGGCATGGTGCACAGCCTATAATCCCAGCCACTCAGGAGGCTGAGGCAGAAGGATCATAAACTCGAGGCCAGCCTCAGCAACTTAGCAAAGCCCTAAGCCTCAGCAACTTAGCAAAGCCCTAAGCAATTTAGCAAGACCCTGTCCCAAAATAAAAAATAAAAAGGGCTAGGGATGTGGCTCAGTGGTTAAGCATCCTGGGGTTCAACCCCTAATGCCAAAAAAAAAGAGAGAGAGAGAGAGAAGAATATTAGCACCTACTTCAATAGTATTACTAAGAGAATACATGAATACATGTAAAATACCCCAAGCAGTGCCAGCCACACAGTAGGGCTACATTAGGTGATATGTAAAACTTACACCCCCATCTGAACCACTACCTTCCTAACCACAGCAAAGAAACCTCTATGCCTAAGTTTTAAGAACAGCTCACTGGGGAAGGTGATATAGCTCACTGGTGGAGTGCTTGTCTGGCATGCCTGAGGCCCTGGATTCCATTCCCAGTCCATGGCCTACCCTATTCTGGTTTCTGATCCAGGGGAGGCTGAACTTTTTCAAAGAGCGGACCTTTGAAGAATTTAATAAAAAGTTCAAATTTACCTAACTCTATGGACATTGTGTGGTTATCACTGTCACTCCTCCAACTTGCTCTGAATAAAAACCCTTTAACATTTGGAAAAGGAGAAAGTTCTATGCTTTTTATTTAAAGCCCTATGACCCCTTCCAGAAAACCAAGAACTACCTTACCTGTCCAGCTGTTTGCCCTGCTCCAGAGATACTTCTTCTCTTCAGTGAGCAGGGCCCACCCTGCCAGCTGCTGAGTCAATGCCAGGATCTTACAGGTGATGGTCCTTTTGACTGGGAAACCATCTGGAGAGCCTTGGCTTCATTTTTCCAACAATGTAAAGGAATGTTCAAGTTTACCAGTGCCCATGTTTCTGGCTGGCCAGAGGCAGCTAACTCCTTCCTCACTGCCCTGGACATCCTCCTGCCAACAAAATTCTCTGGAGGGGGCTTCCTAAATCTTCCATGGAAATAAATGAGAATTGGGTCAGCACAGGACTGTCTGGAACCTTAAGGTGACAATGCTGGCCCAAGCCCAGAAGTAGTTAATACAGTAAACTAAATTCCTGTACTGGGGCTCCTTGTGCTAGGGGACTTCTCAGAGTCGTTGCTACAAGTTAATAAACATTGTAAAACTCCAACAAGGGGAGAGGACACCTCTAACAAACCCATTTGACCTCAAAACCCTCTTTAAGAGGTAGCTCCTGATCCAGGCTTCCCGGGACACCTACTGCTTCAGCGCTGGGCCGCCTGTGAGGAGACCAGATTCTAATATTAAATTGGCTGTTCCTAAGAGCTGGCTCTGGGTCTCAACCTGTAAAAAGCAGGGGTGGGCCTCACTCTAACCTTCCTGATGGTCTGGTGGGATCCATAATGCAAACATTGAGCAGTGGGCTGAGCAGAAGCCTCAGGAGAATTGTGTCACTGCGAGGCCAAGGAGGTTAGTGGGGCCTGGCCTGCTTGAATCCGGAGCACAAAAGAGGAGAAGGCAGAGCCGAGAGAAGCTTCAGAGGTGTAAAGGTACAGTCCACTGGCCTTTCCTATCCATCCCTGCCTCTTCAGACTGGCCCCAGGACATAGAAGCACCGAGGGGTGGGCAGGGAGGGGCTGGGGCAGATTCCCGCACAATCCCAAACGAAAACCAAACTCGTCTCTGGACCAGCTGAGGCCTGTCCCCAGCTCCACCCGCGCTGCCAGCATGCCTTTTGCAACACCCAAGGCTAAAAGAAGGGCTTGGGAAGGGGGTGCTCTTCCGACCACTGGGCGGGAGGAAGGGGGCAGTGGTGCAGCCCAAAGACTGGTTCCAATTTAGGAGCCTCCCCCGGATCTACGCGGCGCCTGTCCACGTCTTGCTCTCCGCAGGGAAGGGGACGAGGAACATATAAGTTTCGCCTCGGGGCGGCCCATTTGAGGGTATGCATCCGCTCCTGGTGTCGCAGCGCTGGTCCCTGGAGTCCCAGGGCGCGTCTGGCACTGCTTTCCGGACTCTGGGCTGCGGCGCTGCTGTCGAACTGGAACTGCATGTCTGGGGTCCGGGGCGCGGGCGGCGGTGGAAATGCAGGGCAAGGGAGGTTGCCAGAGTGCATCCGCGCTGGGCGGCGACGGCGACGGCAGGAAAGACCCAGGAGGGTCCCCCGCGCCAATCCCGGCCGCGGAGAGCGCGGGCAGCCTCACACCACCTCCTGCTTGCCCTGGTAGCGACGGCAGCAGCCGTAGAGCGCCGAGAGCAGGTAGAGGCCCAGGCAGAGGCCGCCGCAGACGGCGGCCGCCAGGAAGGCGTGGTATGCGCAGGGCAGTGGGTAATCTTTGAGGTTGCAGTAGCTGTGGCGCTGCGTCTGGTCGATCATGATGCCCGTTGCGGCGCCGTAGAGTGCGGCCGCCAGCAGATCGTGAGCCACGTTGACCACCAGCCAGCGCGAGCCTAGCACCGGGACCACCTCGTGCTTGCCTAGGAGCGTAAGGAAGTAGAGGGCCAGGGTCAGCAGCCAGAAGAGCACAGACACGAAGAGCGCGAAGTGCACCGGGCCCTGGTACTTGCTGGTGGCGATGGTGATCCAGAAGGCGGCGCCGGCCAGCAGCTGCAGCAGCCGCAGC